ATCTTTTCCCATTCACTCAGCCATTCTGTTGCTTTTTTCTTTTCTTCTTTCAATTCTTTTCCATTTCTTTTGTTTTTTTTTCTAACATTTGAAGTAGTATTTTGGATTCTGTCTGATTTCCTGAGCTTCTGCCGTACTTACCTTTCAGTTATTTTGAAGCATCCTTGGTGTTAGAAGATTTTTTGTTAGTAAAACAAACATTCAAAAACTTGTGTATTTCATCATTCAGCTACTATACAAATCCAGCTCCCTTGAAGGTGCTACATATATCTGTGTGACTCACAAAGTTAGAAGCTATTGCTCCCCTAAGACAAAACAAAATAAAACCAAAACTGACCACCCTTCCTGAACCCCATTCAAAAAAACCCACAAACCAGTCAGCCCCCCCCAAAACAAACCAAAATAACCAACCAAAAAAAAAAAAACAAACCAAAAACCAAAAACACAGCTGATGGTTGAAACTTATTTCTGCATTAGATACTTATTTTTTAATTAAAGAGAAAAATTCCTAACTGTGATATTTATTTTGGTTGCCAGTCTAGTATGATGGAACCTCTTTTTATGTAAGTAATCACAGTATGGAAGAACACTTGATGACTGCTGTTGCTTGTTTTTCACTTTTGGTAGTAATGGGAGAGTAATGTTTATGGGCCAGTCACTATACAGAGCTTCCCTTAAGCCTCCTATTTCTTCCTTTAGCAGTACCCCTTAAGCCTCCTATTTCTTTGTTAGCATCATTTCATAGCTTCTCTTAGCAGAGGTAGTTTCTAGTAAGATGGGCTCTGCTGTGCAGGCTGGTGTTAAAGCAAGGTGCAAATGAGGCTCCTTCTAACCCCCTTGCCTGCAGAGAAGGAGTACAGCAGACCTGTACAGCCTCTTGCCCTGATCTTGATGCCATCCAGAGTGGAAGTAGTCCAAACTGAAAGAGTCCAAATTACTTCAGTGGCCAAATGACTTCCTTTTCTCTTTCTCTTCTCCTGCATTGACTTGTGATATTTTTGCTTTATATAGCTGTATTTCTGAGCCAAATATAACAGGGCCCTATGGTGGTGTCTCAAAACATTGGTCCTCGGCCCTTCTGTGCTCTTTATTATATGATGGTTATCTCCATGTCATTTAATGTTGTTTTTTTTTTTTAACTTTTGAGGGTATTTTGAGCCACATGGTGACATGGATAAAGAATATCATCATCTCCTTATTCATTCTCTGGTTTCAGTTGTGTCTGAGGTATCCTAGGGGGAACTACTATCTTTTGCTCCATAAATGATTGGTTTGGCAAAAGGGTCCTTTCCTTTAATATCCATAAGCCAATTTCACATGGATGGTATCTTGAAGTGCAACCTACCATCTCTTCCTATAACATTATCTTTGTTCTTCTCTTGCAGAACTTTGTCCGACATCACTGGGTACACAGACGGAGGCAGGAGGGGAAATGTAAGCAGTGCGGAAAGGTAAGATTGCCTGTGCATCACAAGTAAAACACCAGGCACGTAGGCATTCAGGGTAGTCAGTAGCTCCTTCCAGTGATGAGATTGTTTCTATGCTAAACGTTTAACCTCTCTTAAGTAGAAAGTGACTAAACTGAGTGGTAGCACCTCTGACTCTCACATGGGAATAGAAAAGGCAGTTGCATCCATGCAAGAATGAGCCTGTCACGTGTCCTGGGCTGTTCACTGCACTGGCCAATTAAAAGGGAAAGGAGGAAGGCAGTGGCTCCTTGATCTTTTTTTCTCTTGGTTAAGCCAACCCAGTGCCAATGTTGTGCTCTTGCAGTGATGTCTTCTGCGCCAACATTATGATTACTTTTTATTTTTTTCTGACTACTGGAAAAAGAAAGGCTGTTGCTTTCTGTCTGTCTCAGCAGATTCTGCACTTTGTAAGACTGCTTCATATTCACTATCTATGTGGCAAAATAAAAGCTTGTTTCTAAAAAGTTTTAAAAAGGAGTGTAACCTGATGATTGGTTTTCTGAAGTATTATGAACATCTGAAATTTGGTCTAGTAGTTGGCAACCCTGCCCATGGCAGGGGGGTTGAAACTAAGTGATCAATATGGTCCTTTTTAACCCAGGCCATTTTATGATTCCATGAAATAAATTAACACTGAATTTAATTTCCTCACTCTAGCACTGTAATCTATCCCCTCTTAACAGCAACTAATAAGACTGTGTTTTCTCTATGGCATGGCACTTTAGTTAGAAGAAATCATATTTTAGCTGGATGCTGATGTAGATCATCAAGTGCTGCAAGGCATGGCTTACAAACATGATGCTCTTTTTTAACAAGTGGCATGCAAACAGTGCAAGGAGACACTTACAGGCAGCATTCTAATGGTACACCTTCTTTGCTACTCTGGGTAATTCTCTAGAAAAGTATTTCTGAACTACGTACTATGTGAAGAACCACCTTCTTATTCATCTGTTATCTTCTAATGCTCCATAGCTCTCATGTTAGAAGACGTGGTAAATAATTGCTCCCAAGCCACATTCTCTAAGCAATTAATTATGTTTAATATTTCTCTCGCACTTCTGCTCATTTGTTTCACTTGCAATCTGAAGAAAATCTAGTTTGCAAGCTTTCAGCTATTATTATCTTTGTTACCTGGGATCTTCAGAGTAATTTTTTTTTTTTTAATAATATTTTTTTGCATAATTTATCATGAGAACAATCAGACCATGTGGCCCAGTATGCAGTCCATGACTGTGTGCTGTAATAGAAGCTAAAGGATGAATGCAGATTAACTCTTTGTTCCTAAACTAATAATTACTAGCGCCTAGTAATTTAGGGATTTTCTGAGACTGAATGCATCTGTACCATCATACTAAAAAGGCCTTTAATTCGTTTTTACTTTCCATGATGTCCAAAGCAATGTGTCCACCAGACACGCAATGTGCAGCTGCAGCATTGGTCTCTTTTTTTTTAGTAGTGCTTTTAAAGGCCTGTGGGTGGATGCAGGGCTTTGTTTTCATTGCATGTAAGTCACCATGTAAGTGTTTCTGTTACTGTTTGTATTGGAGCTGTAGTAGTATCTGTTCCTCATACAGTATTGTTACACTGGAAAGTATCTGAGAGCCTTAGAAATAGAATAAACACTCCTGTATTTTTTTTCCCTGATGAATGACTGCTTCCTTTAAACTGATGTGAAAATGCTCTTTAATGGTAAATAGGTCTAAGCATATAACCAAAACTTACCAGAGCTAGTGATCCCTCTGTGCTGTGTGTGTGAGTGCCTTCATTAATGGGGGATTTGATCCCAATTGTTTAGGCAGATTGCAGATTGCAATCACCAGTGCAAGCTGGAGATTCAGGTGCCCTTTTCCTCCAAATGTGTTTTCTCTGTTATGCGTGACTGCGTACTTCCACAGGAGCAGTTCACAGCATGGAATTTCATGTGTTGCACAGCAACCTGATGCCAGTGAATCAGGGCTAATAGGTACTGTTTGCCTGATATCCCCAGAAAAGTGAAATTACTTTTCCATCCCCACATTTCTGAATTTATACAGAAAGTTTCCTTCCATAACCCATGGACAAGGTAGGATAACTGAACTCTCGTATTTTTTCCTGATTGACGAAAGAAAGAAGAGAGAATTTCTGGTGAATTATGGGGTCCCCTGGTGTTTCAACCCAATAGTCTACATAAAATCTCCCTGTGACCTGCAACCCATCACTGTATTTCATCATTCCCTTTGAATGTGAGATTTCAAAAATCACTGTTTTATCCCAAACACGTATCCTTAGGAAGAATTAACTCACATCTATAAAGCAATGAGGAATGATTGGTTCTTATTAATATGTTTTTACTGCTGTGTATTTTCTCTAACGGCTCCCTAAAAGCCAACTGTCTTACTGAATAAATAAGAAACGATCCATCCAGAACCAGACAAGCTGCTCAGTCCACATGTTTAAAATACACCACTAACGGGCTGTGGAATTAATGTACTGACTTTGAGGTTTCATTAGTGGAGGCTTGGGGAGATAAAAATTTCTCCCATGCTTCTTAGAAACCAGAACAAAAAACATTTCATGCTGATGAGAAGCTGATTTATTCTTTTTCAACACGCTGGGACAAAGTGTAGGATTTGTGAGAATCTTTAAGAGACCTCAGTCGGAGTAAATAAAGGTGAAGTGCTGGACTTTCAGTCTCTGCAGACATTAACCCAAATCAAGTATTTTTCTGATTGAAATATGATTCAAATGAATGCAAGTTTTTCAGCCATAGCTCCAGCTGCCATTTGTTACCTGTGTTATGTGCAAGAAGAATGTATATGACCCAGTGGTCTTTTCCAGCCTTAGACTATGGAAGAAAGAGATCTATCTGTTGAAATGTCTTTCTACAAAATTAAACTGTGGGAAAATAAAGTCCCATATTTGCTGGTAGTGGTGTTTTTTATTTGTTTGTTTTTTTTTTTTTTTGTTTTTCTCCTTAAAATTATAGAAGTATATATTTTTATATTTGATTTGAATCAGACAATCTTGGTGGGGTTTTTTTTTGTTTGTTTGTTTTTTATTTTTTTGGAATGTACTAAAAAGATTTTGATCTGAGTCAGCTTAATAAAACAATAAACTTAATTTCCCAAATGGAAGATTTCCAGCCAGACATTATAGTTGACTCTACTCTCTGCTAAAAATAAATAAATAATGTTAATAAACCCGATTCTTATTTATATTTAAAGCAAAAAAGACTGCAGTGAAAAAATGTTCACTTCAGCATAAAATCTGATTGTCTCAACTGTAGAAAGCCATTAAAATAGCCATTACTTCTCTTTCTTCATCCCCCTTTCCTTCTTTAACTACAGAATTTAATAAAAAGCACAAAAATTTGGGGAAATACCTTTACAGTGTGTGTGAGAACATGCTGTTGCTGAAGAGCCTTCTCTATCAATCCTGTCACTATTTTATCCTCCCAAAATATATTCAGAATCCGAGAGCTTTGAGGCTGAACCAATGTATGTGACTCTACCAAACTGGTTTAGCCTAGCGCAGTTATCTGACAAGAATTAAAGGCATAAATTTTCCTGTAGTCAGGGTGAATTTAACTCATTTTCTTCTGCTTATTGTAGGGCTTTCAGCAGAAATTCTCCTTCCACAGTAAAGAGATTGTGGCCATCAGTTGTTCCTGGTGCAAGCTGGCGGTAAGTGGATAATATTCATGGAAAGCAGTAGTAACACCTTCACTGCATAGCCTCAAGGCGTGTGATTTTGTTTGTGCTGGCTCTCGGAGTTTCTTCTCTGAGTGAATCACTACCAGTTTTGCTCTTTCATTTTTCTTTTGCTCAGATGCCATAATTTCATCTGGATAATACATTAATCCTCCTAGAAGAAGGGTCTTGCTGCCCCATGTAGTCACTGGCTACCTCCCATCAACGCCACGCTGCTGCCAGCTCAAAGAGCCAAAGGGCTGTTAATGCATTTAGTATGTCAGGCTGGGTTATGGTCTTTAATCTGCTCTTATATAAGTAGAAGTGATTTTTTTTTTTCTTTTTTTTTTTCTTGATCTTTTCCCCTTGCTATGAAGCATGGCTAAGGAAGGTGGTTTTTAGTTATACCTTCCTAGAGCTCCCAGGGTTTGAGGATGAGAGAATTGGGAACGTCGCTCTAGTTTTGCAGTCTCATTCTCTTTTTCCTCTCCTTGCTTCTCCTATGTCTTCCTTGACCTCCTTATCGGCTCTACTCTTTTCCTTTCCTCCAGTTTCATAACAAAGTCACCTGCTTCATGCTACATCACATTGAGGAGCCATGTTCTCTTGGGGCTCACGCAGCTGTCATTGTGCCTCCCACCTGGATCATTAAGGTGAAGAAACCTCAGGTAACTGCATGCTGATGTCTGTTTCTGAAGCTGTATGGCTTCACAGGGCCAGCCTGGCTTCTGCACTCACTACACCTCCACTAAGGCATGCTCGTTCAACCCTGTCTCTCTCCCTGAAACCCAGCATACATTCATGGTGATTATGAACTTGTATCCTCCATCCAGCCCTTCAGTAGGTTTCCTTGTTTGGGTTGATAAGCAGCAAACATGACTTTTGTTCTGAGCAATGCAGCTCAGGTGTGTTCTTTTGTGACTTCAGCTAGCGTACTGCAAGAAATCCCCTGTGCTGGAGGCAATAAAGCATGCTTCATTAAATAGAGCTGAGCAAATACAGGGAAAAACTAGTAACACACATTCACTTGAACTGCAGTAAGAATTCACTGTAGTTGGCTGGCATCCCTCTGTATTTTCACCAAAGGACAGTTAAATAATCATGTCTTGTTCACATCAGTTCCTGCTGGATGCCAACAGTAAGACCACATGCCCATTTACTTGCAGGTAAAAGGGTGAGACTTCAAAGTGTTGATATAGTTGCGATACGTTTTAGTGAGGTTAATTCACTAATCATCACAACAGGGAGAGAAGGTATCCTAAAGAGAGCTGGCCAAAAATTAAAAGGGGATTCTTATCATGCACAAAGTAATTTTTTTGTTGTTGTTTTTTTTTTTTTTGTTTTTGTTTTTCGTTTTTGTTTTTGTTGTTGTTGTTTTTGGAAGTCTCTTTTCACTCCAGGTTGAACTGAAAGACACAAACACACACTGAACACATCAAGGAACCAGAAATGCTGGTATAAGTTTTACTTCAAAAGCAAGGAAATGGATGAAAAAACAGGAATGCTGGTGTTATTGAACAATGTTGTGCAGCTTGTATGTTAGCATGAGAAGTGACTCAGGGCTTTCTGGCTCCGTGTCCTGGCTGGCAGGAAGCAGAGAATTTCACAGCATGAGGAAGGCACTAAGACAAAATGTCCCTGTGTGGAACTAGAAAAAGGTCTGCAGTTTGGACACTGTTTGGTCTTTAGCTCCAGTCTAGGGATATAGCTGTCATCTCTGTGCATGAGCATTATTTCTAACAGGCTTGATTCTAAAGACAGGAGGGAAATAAATAAATAAATAAATCAGAATTTGAGTATTTGAAACAAAACAACCAAAAACCACAACTTGACCAAAGAGATCACAGTTTCTCCTTTAGATTTAGAGTATTCAAGGTCTCTAGCCACCTCTCCTCTGAGAAAAAAAAGGTCTCTTTGGCATTTCTGTATTTTTCCCACACTCCTTTTCCTCTGTTAGTTTACTCTAGCCTTCTCAAGAGAAATCTCTTTCCTTTCTTGTTGAATTTTGAGTCCTCAGCAGATATTTAATCTCCTTGGCTAATTTTCAGCACCTGTGGTATTTGGCACAAAAATGAGACTGGCTCCTTTTCTGCCCCGTTAAAGAGATTGTATGGCCTATTAGTCGTAAGACTTTCGGTTGCTGGGTTTCACGGTAGAGCTTTGGTCATTTAGCCAAGAAATAGTGACTCCAAGGGTTTGGGGTCTTGAGGTGGACCCATGAGGCAGAGATCCAGGGTTAGGAACCATTAAGAAGAATGCCGTAGCTGTTGTAGTCCCAAACTAGAAACTGGGTACCTGGGTCTTTGAGCTTTCCACCTGGAACATCTCCATGAAGACAAAAAGATTAAAAATACTTGACTAGCTCCTGTACAGGCTGAGACTGGTACTTTGGAGATGACAAAAATTATTTGGATCAGAAGGCGTTTTGGACAAATTATTTTCAGCATTATGAGTTGTAGGAAATTTTGATTACCTTTAGATGAGGTATGAGAATCTCCTTTTTGACCAGGTAACTTCAGGTAGCTTGCGGGTGGGAAGATGATGGATGTCTTAGAGCTGTAGGTAGGATAATTAATCTTCTTTACCTAAAATCTTCTGTTTTAAGGACACACACAGCCATAGCCTATGAGGCAAAGGTCAGATACCACCTGTTACTTACTATACCTTTACCATTTAACTACACTTCACCCCATGCATATGGGAAAAAAGGATATAACTGATCTAAGAACCAGTTTTATGTGGCTGGAGGTGCTACTCTCTTTGGAGGTCTGATAAGAAAATCCAGATCTTTTTTCATCCAGTACATTTCCAACATATTTCTCTTAAATCACTTTCAATCACCATTAAAAACAAACAAACAAACCAAACAAAAAACAACAAAAACACCTTTTGTGTGCCTTTTAGTATATTTTTCTACAAAATCAGGAAGAGTATTGAATTTGTTTGATAATTTCTGGCTTACCAAAACCCCTTTTAGTAAGCCCACAATACACAACAATTACTATTATTTTTAAACAAAATGAGGAAAAGAATATTAAAAACAAGAACTCTAATTTAAGAAAAATAAATAAATTAATAAAAACAGAAGTATTGATTGATTGAAAAAGCCTTGCTTTAATCTTCTATGCTTTTACTTTTAAAATTTTCCCTTGATTTGTTGGTTAATCAAAGCAGAGTGTCTTCCTTATAGGATTTAGTCTCTTGTTTATTATTTTCTTTTTTCAGAAAGGTCAAAAATTAGTTATTATTCATGGGAAAAAAAGATTTTAAATGCGTGTTTTAAATGTTAGGCTTAAATGAAATGTCTGTTAATTTTTTGTGGTCATAAATGGAGAGGAAGTACGTAAGTCCAATTTTCTCTCTCATCACATGTCAAACCCTTAGAATTAATGCAAAAAAAAAAAAAAAAATTACCTTGAATAACTGAAGCTTTAGATAAATCATACTCCTATGCAACGCAGAGAATGGACAAGTTTCCACAGAATTTCTGAACAACACCTAGTGCATGTTACTTTTGTGGATTGAATCTATTGTTGTGGGAAATATTAATTCTTCAGATGCATTTTCAGATTTTTTTGACAGAAGTCTTGTTTGTTTTTCTTATGTTTCTTTAGGAATTTTTCTCCCCTCCTGCTGTTTCTGGCCAGCTCTCCTGTGTATTGTGGCCCTCTTCACCCTATATACCTGTTTGGTGAACACTATTGTTACATTCAGTCCACAGAATACAAATACAATATTAAAATTTTTGTGAATTCAGATAGTAAATTAATATATGTAAGCAACAATTTGTTTTTCACATATTTCACAGTTGAAGTAAATTTGACTACGAGCCTCTTGGTTATAAATTATTTTCTCAGCTCTAATTAACTACTCACATTAATCATGGTCAACTCCTGAAATTTCCTACTCATGAAGTTGATTTTAGTGGTGCCTTCATCCTTTTATTGATTGTTTCTTTTAGGCAAATAAGGTGGCTTTTTGTAGCAAACCCTTGCCCCAGTTTTCAATTTTTATTTCTCTTTTTATTGCTACAAAAATGCTTTTCCATGCTTATGTGCAACAAGGGTCACCACCTTTCAAATATTGTACTTGAATAAACAGCACACTCCCCCTCTGAATGCCAGAAATGTTGTGGTAGTAAACCATGATTATGTAATTAAGGAAAAATTTGTTCATGCCTTTTACATTCTAAATGGGGAGCTTTTGCATTTTGCAAGCAATTGATTGCTACATGATGAATATTCAAAATGGTTTAATCAACTTTGGGTTAGGTGGTAGCCCTGTCTGTAATGACCCATTTACATAAATGGAAAATTCCCAGTATCTATTTCATTTTATTCATACTTCTGTAACTAGTTTACTGTTTTCCAATATTTTTATACTGTATTAGCAGCACTTTGACACCATCTCTGATTTCCTGTGGTTCAAATCAATTCCATCTCCTAATTCTCCTCACTGTTGTGAAAACAGGCCACCCTTGTTGACTGATGTTGTGTGAGATTTGGTAGCCCAAGTAGTTTTGTGCTAGGAATGGACTTGCTATGCTTATGTTGTGGGAGAAAAGTTAATTATGAGTAGGAGTACATCTAGCTGATGTACCTACTGATTCAATCTTTCACCTTCTGTTTGGGAAGGCAAAGACAGTAAGTGTAAAATTCCATTTTATGTTATTAATTTTTTATATTTTTCTTTTCAAGGTGAGTAAACATGGTATTTTCTTCCTTTCCTCCTACTTCAAGGGCCTTCAAAGAGTGCTAGTAATCTTTATACTTCTGGGCTAATTTCTTCCTTTCATCAGTTGCTTGCTGCAACTGTCTTGCCTAGATGTGATTTGTGAACAACCAGAAGATGGTCAAGATTGACCTTCTCAGAGGCTGTTCATTGCTTACATCATTTGATGTCCAGCATGTTAGAAGCCTTTGAAAATAAAGAAAAGGGTGGAAAAGTTTCATTAGATCTGTTTCGGATAGTCTGTGGCCCTTACACCAACCAACACCATAAAAAGGACTCCAATTCTTTTGTTCATTTAGCTAAACTTGCTTAGAACTACAATGATGATGCAATAATACCAAACATCTCTCTTTGAAGATGGCCAAACTGACATCCACAAAGGAGAGGTTTCCTCTCTAGATTCAAGTTAGGATTTACATATGGTGCACAGTAAAGGTATGCTTTGTTATCAAGTATTTTGCTGAATAACATTATCTGTTTGTAAAAATAATACTCATCACCTTGTTTTGTGGACAAGGTAATACACATTCATTTCTTCAGTTTCATGTGCAAACACTGATGATTATTTCTGTCTGTTATTCTTCTGCATGTTTGCAAGGAGAACTTGCGTATATTTAATCAGCTTTTTTTCCTTTCATCTGCTGTAGATGTGCATCATTGTAGCAAAGGTTTAGGTTGTCTTAACAATACATATGTTAAGTATGCTTTAAAAAAAAAAAAAAAGGTGAAATAACATAGTTGTGATGTAGCATATTATTTTGCCTTTCTGAGGGTAGAAATTAAGAAGAAAAAAGTTATGGTGGAAGCTTAGACTGAAAGACTTTCACTAATACGCTTATATGCCTCTTCCCACCCCATTCATAGGCAAGAAAGGAGCCATGCTATAATGGGATTTAATAACAACTACACTTAAACGGTCTTTAATTTATTATTATTATTCTTTAAATTAGGCAGTATTTTCTTTTTCCAAAAGAATTTCACTGGCTTAGGTCCATCCACTGAGAAAGTAGAATAATAAGTACAGTCCTTCTTCAGGTGATACAGTTAAATACTATCCTAATATAATATTGAACTTGAGTTACTGGCTGTGATTTGCCAGAAGACTTCACTGCGTGTTACCGATAGGATAAGTATCTTAAATTTTACACGTAGGGATACTAGAGCCCAAGGAAAAGTCTCAGTATGTCCATGACCTTTCGTCAGATGGCTGGCAAGACTGCAGACAGACTGGATCTCAGTCTATCTTGTTTTCCCCACACCTGTGAAACCAGCTGAGAAAACAGGCCAAGAACCCCACTGCTTGCAGTTGGTTGCTGGAGCTTTGAGGGCAATGCGCAGTGCCTTTATACTGACATAAAGACTTTTGTCTACCCTCCTAAAGTCTGACTCCTAAAGTAGGGCAGTGAAAGTCTATGAAGGTGACACTACCCATTCACTTCTGTGGTCAGTGCAGTCTTTGTGATTTATCATGCTTTCAAGATCACTTTTTATGTATCAGAGTAGGGAACAATAAGAACATCTCCTTAGATATTTTCTCAGACTGTGCCCTAATAGGGCAAGTGCCTTGGCATTGCTCTGCTGAGCCACACTGTCTTCAGTATTTTCAGTAAACAACAAGGCATAAATATATAGTGGTCCACAAGGAATGCTGGGAGGTGATTTAAGTTCATGACTGTGCTCTACAGCAGAACTTTCTTGGTCTGGGTTAAAAAGGAGATAATAGTTTCTTCAGCTATTTCAGTTAGATTGCTGTTATTTTTTTCCACATTTCTGAGAAGTCAGGAAAAACTAAATTTTTCATCTGGTGTGTTGGACCAAAGTTTAGGAATTCTGAATGTGGTTGTTAGGTAATCAAGAGACTCTAGTAACTGTTCTCCTTAACGTAATGGCATTACTTGTTAGTGAGCAGATTAAGTAGGGACAGATATCATTGCTTATAGACTTGGTGATCTCTGATCATTAACTTATTCTCATTAATGGCACACTTTTGAATAGCATCATGACAGAAATGACCTTTGGATGAGCTGGGTGTATCTTGCTCCCCTCTTGAAGCCAGAAAAAAATCAATTAACTTTCTTCTAATTTCCTGTGTATTTCCTGTAATACAAAATCTCAATCATAGACCAAGTGTTTCTTGTGGATACGATTTCAGGTACTGAATATCAAGGGAAAAAAAATAATACCCCCTTTTTGGTATGCTGTTATCACATCAGAAGATCTTTATGGTTCAGTATTACTAACTAGGCTATTGCCTGCCTGGAGAATAGTTTTCATGCATATTTTTTAGGTTCTGTAAAAATACAAGAAATTTTGCGTTTTCTTCTGCAGTTTAGTGTTACTATTTAAAAAGCAAACAACTGGGAAAGAGCTTGATTCCTTAATTACTAATAGTTCACATTGTTCCTCATCGGATGATTACACAAGCTTCTTGAAAGGGCTGGAACTCACTCTGCAGTGCCAGCGTCATATGCCGTGGTGGCCTATGTTATATTGAGTCATAATGGTTGCCAGAGCTAAAACTTGTTGTTTTCTTTCCTAAAAAAACATGAAAAATATCTCATTTATCATGTTTTTTATTACATCTTTATGCAGGGGGTCTCCATACCAGGAGACGAGCCTGATTGGGCAGGAGACTGGAGCCCCGAAGGGGAAACGGGCGTCTCCTACCCCTATTGGGAGGGTTGGCAGGTACAACATGTGGTGTTATGTGAGTCTATGGGAGCATCTGATCTTTTTCCCCCCTCACAGCGTGGGAAAGTTTCCAGTTCCAAAGCACCAGTCTGGTCTCCGTGTGTGGCTTTCTCCATAAACGGTGGTGTGGAAGTGTAAAGCATGCAGCGCATGTGATTTAAATCTTGAGCATGTGCCAGATACTCTTATCATTCTCCAAGTGGACATGCATGGAAGAGCTTCATAAAGAGGCTCTGTCTGTGCCTGTCTTCTAAATTTTGTTTTGCTTTTCATGTATTCTTTTTTCTTTATTTTTTTTTTAATGTAGAACTCATTAAAGACTTCAACACGGCGAAAGAAGAGGACATCTTTTAAAAGAAAAGCCAGCAAAAGAGGCAATGATGTAGGTATTTAGGAGCTTTGAAAATGAGTTTCCTTTTGTTTGAATGTATAAATGCAGATTTTAAAGTTCCATTTACTGTGTTTTTGATATATATATATATATTTTTTTTTGCTGGAAAACTCCATATTACTGAAGTTGTTGTGAGAAAATATTAGTTTTGATAAAAACTTGTATGACAAGTGTCATTTGCTGAGTTGATTTTTTTTCAAGAAGCAGCATACCAGCCTAATGAAACAATATTTTCCTAGGGTGTAAAAGACTCAGCACAAACATTTGGTTTCAACTAGGCAGAGCAGGAGTGTGAAAGTGGGTTCTGAGTGTGCTGACTGCAAGAGTCTGAATATGGAGCTGGCTTGAATGTCTGCTTTGAGTGTCTGCCTTGGGAGATCTCCTGTTGGGGATATCTGGTCCTATGGTTAGGTTTACTATGTAGATTATAGAAGAGTGTTTCCAGCTCTTGCCTACTGTATAAGTGGTATACTGAATGACCTTAAGGGGAGAGGTGGATGGAGACTTACCTCTGCCCAGACAGAGCTCTGTGGGTAAGATCCTCACTTGGGCATTTGGCAACTGCAGACCAGAAACTTCAGTCTGTGTCTGCCTCAGCCCAGGAGAGTGTCCTCATTACGGGACTCTTTAATGTACTACAGATTCAGAGAAGCTGGGAGGCAGATATATTTCTCATTGACATAATGAAAATATCTAAGGTGCAGGAGGCAAAGGGATGAGGCCAGACTCTTTTCAGAGATGCATAACAATAGGACAAGGGGAAATGGCCACAAACTGAAGCATAGGAAGTTCCGCACAAATGTGCATAAGAACTTCTTCACAGTGAGGGTGGCGGAGCACTGGAACAGGCTGCCCAGGGAGGTCGGGGTGTCTCCTTCCATGGGGACTTTAAAGACCCGCCTGGATGCCTACTTCTGCAACCTGGTCTAGGGAGTCTGCTTTGGCAGGGTGGTTGGACTCGATGATTTCTATAGGTCCCCTCCAGCCCCAACAGTTCTGTGATTCTGTAATGAGAAATATTTGAATCACATAATACAAGTAAAACCTGCTCAAAGAAGGAGAGCCATCAAGGCCAAGAATATAGGAGCAGATAATCTGCAACTAAACACTGGTTCAATTTGTCTGTTAAATGGGAGCCAGGAAGTAAGTAGTTTATCTCATTCCATTTTCTATTGGAAAAAAATATAATTCAATATAATTCATATTAGAAATAGCACTATATCTGACACGTTATTAGCACCGTATGAATAATTTCTTTTGGGGAAAGAATATAAAGTAAAAAAAAAAATAGTTTTGGGCTAACCTGGAACAGTTTTTTCCTTCTTATTTTCTTACGGAATTTTCTCAGCTGCATAAATTTAGTCTCAGCTGAGCACCATGTTATCATGGCTGTACTGTTTCCAGTGTCCAAGGTAGTTTTGTCAGAGCTTCTTCTACACGTGATATTCAAGTGAAATCTGCCCTTTTCCTAACTTTTACTAAAGTTGTTTCTTGCTGTTGTTTCCCAGGATAACAAAGGTCGGCCATTTGTGATAAAGCCTATTTCCTCTCCGCTCATGAAACCACTGTTGGTTTTTGTAAATCCAAAAAGTGGAGGGAACCAGGTAAGGTCATAAAATGGATCCAGGTAACAAAGTTTAAATTTAATAACTGTTTTCTGCAAATAAGACTAGCTTTTGGTCAGTCGTGAGAGGAGCTCTATGTGACTGTATTAGAGTCTCCTAGAAGAGATACTTGCAATTGAATGTCCTTTATATCTCTAATTCCACTGAAGTGGAAGAAAAGGATATTTAAATATTTGAGCATCGGCCTTCATATCTTCAGATTTTTGATAGGAACCTAAAATGGTAGTTTGGAGATTTTCAGAAGACCTCATTTTTCCATGGGAAATTTAGATTACTAGTGAAGTTCTAGACTTATTTAACCCTGAATATGATGTAATTTTACATTACCGTATGATGACCTTTTGGTAAAGTGTTGAACAATCTGCATTGAATGAGGGAGCAGTGGTGCAGCTGCAGCCCATGGAGTCCTTGGATGCTGCTTCCCTGGGCAGTAAAGGCTCATAGTAGTGTTCGTGGTGATGGCTTTGGAGGTCAAAGCAGCATTATTACATGGATGTTGGGCAAGACACTCTTCACTGTGACCCACAAATTTTGCCCACAAAATCCTTGAGCTTCTTGCTGTCACGGACAGTCTGAGGATGTGTGTGTAGGATAACAGAACTTTCTTGTTGCAGGTGATGAGAGAACAGGTTTCTGTGGGAGAAAAACTTTTGGTCTGACCCTAAGTGTTTACTCTTATACCATTAATGATCTGTATTGTTCAATTCAATTTACATGCACACATGTGCACACTGCATGGGTTTCTGAGTCACTATTTTGTAGAGCTATCATTTGCTGCAACCCTTTTTATTTTGATTTTTTCTTGGCTTATGTTTGCATTATAAAGCATAAATGGAAGAAAAGCAGTCCAAATATGAACACAATTATTTTTAATAATCATTATGCTATTCATAATTTCCCTTCCTTTGATTTTTTTGTTTTCCCAGGGCACCAAGGTTCTCCAAATGTTTATGTGGTATTTGAATCCACGCCAGGTCTTTGATCTTTCTCAGGAAGGGCCAAAAGATGCGTAAGTTTTCAGGCACTCAGCTCTGTTTTTGTATTAGGAAAGCAGAGAAGCATCTAGCTTGGATAGATTGGTAGACTAATGATTTTGATAGGTTTGGGTTCTCAAAGATCCACATTGTGATACAGAATCAAAGTTACAGCATATAGATAAACCTATGTAAATGCCTCTGCATGTTCAGATAAGATCTTAAGCACATGTATGGAGAAGAGCAGGCTTGGGGTCTTAACAGCAGCTTTGGATACCTACCAGGGATGTTTCTGAAAAGACAGTTTGACCCCTTATAGCAGCATGGCAAGAGGAGCAAGAAAGAGTGGGCAAGATGTCCAAAGAGACTGTAGAAATGAGAGAAGTTGTGACTAGATGTAAGGAAAAACTTTTTCACTGTATGACAGTTATCCATTAGATTGGATTCTCTTTGTATGTGGAGATTTTTGAGCCCCAGCTTGATGAAACCCTGAGAAATGTCGTCTGGTCTCAACACTGAATCTGCTTTGATCTGGAGTTGAGACAGAAATCTTTTGAGATCCCTTCAAACTCAGATTATCCTGTGACTATGATAAGCTGGTAGTTTATCTGTTGAATACAGAGTTACTTCTACTGTATTTTCTCTGTTGCATTGTTTGTGAGTTCTGTCCTCATATATAAATTTGTGCATGTGAATAAATATAGTTAAAAATGAAGGGATGTGTATATATGTGAAGTTATAAGCAATTGAAGTTGAAATTATGGTATTCTGAGTGATACATATTCCTGGGATAAGCAGTTCATGTAAAATAAGATGGGAATGGGCTCTATGCTCTCTATGAATATATAGATCAAATAGATGTATGAAAGGTATGGCTGCTTTCAGAGCACCCTCTATTGGTCAGAAATTTTTTCGTTTGTTTCTTTTATTATGTGACTGTGGGGAGGACTTGCAGCAAGTGATATAAGCAGAGACAAAAAAAATAAAAATAAAAAATAGGCTATTCTTTGATATAGAATCACATTATAGGAAAACGCTGACTGAAGGCTGTTACATAGGCGATCAGATTCACAGAGTCAAAACAAGTTCATTGAAGAGTACCTTACACCTAAGTCTCAGTAGAGTCCACGGACTGCAGATCCTACAATGCTTGACCATTCCCGAGTGGCTGATCTTTAGTGGAGTGAAGCTACCTTTAGATTTCCATGTGTGACTGCAGCACGCAGCTATCTTTGCATGCTGAGTAACTGATGCTCATTAACTAGGCAGTTATTGAAGGGTGAGTGAAGGAGAAGGAACCTGCCTTTAGAGGGATGATTCTCAATGCTAAGAGTAAAGAAACTGTGCTTCTGTAGTATTTGACATAGGGATATTTGCTCTACTTAATTGTCTGCTCAGTGCTCCTTTGACATTAGTACAGAAGGATAGTAATCATTTAAAGTCAAATGTTTTACCTGTATAAGAATGGTCCAAGTATTTTCTATTCATACTTCTAGAGCACCCAAACATGTTTTTCCTGCTGAAACACCTGCTACTCTCCTAATGATGTATAGAAGCTTAAAAGTAAATGTACAGTTTTCAGAGCTGTGTAACAGTGGTTGGATTAAATCCTTGGTAAACTAGGTCTCAGTATGTGAATGTATCTCCTCCACTGGGAGATGTCTTACTATGCCTCTCTTTCATGCAACTGATGGAACAGGCATTTTTTTGGCTCTCCTGTTTGTTTCTTAGATCAGATATCCAGAGAGTTTTGTTAGGTGTTACTGCCTTCTGTGGTATTAAAAAAATACAATTATCAGTTGAAGGAGCTGTTGTGCTCTACACACTTCAGAAACAGCGGTTAGCAAACACTGATGAGAAACACTTCATTTGTTTAAAGCTTCAGTGTTTACATTTGTTTGCCTTAGGATAAGAGGAAAATAGAAGACTTTGTCATCTCCAGAGGAAGAATGAGAATCTGGCTTTTCAGATTATATGTTCCCGTGTTAAACAGACAAAACACTTCTCAGGAGGGGCTGTCTAACTGTTAAGGAAAGCTCCATTTCATTTTTTTAATTTTCCTCCTCCATTCTACATCATCAGTAATGAATATTCTAGAGAGAAATAAATGTTAGTTAAACTGTCACTTGGAAAAAATGCGTAGTAACTACATGCATTGCTGTATTGACTTTGTCAAAATTATTTTTTGCTTTTCCCTCACCTGGCCAGGCTGGAGCTGTACAGAAAAGTGCCAAACCTGCGGATCCTGGCCTGTGGTGGTGATGGAACGGTAGGTGACTGGTGCCTGGCAGCCCTCTGGTCATTGCCAAGAGCTGAAATTGCTCACTACATAGGTTTCCCACTTTGTGATGCCTGTAGAACCGGATAACCTACCTTATGCTTAATAATTCTTTTCTACGTGGATTGGCCTACTTACTGATGGGACTGTATTCTTATGTGCTAATGTCCTAGATCCTATTTGCTTTATGCATAGATTTAGTATAGCTTAAAAAATAAAGACAACCATTGTTGGCCTCTTCTTACTATTTTCACAGATCTGAGAATTTAGCAGGTTAAAACAGTGCCTGGGGGTCATTTAATCTTAATTTCTACTCCTCTCTGCTCTTGTCTTCACTATGCCTGAGTACAGTCAAATGTCAAATGCCTCTAGTTTCCTCACCCTCTTTACAAATCCACTTTGAGGAAGCTGTCATGCTACTTGTCTGTGATGTGGCTGATCTCCAGATTCAGTACTTTCTTTGCAATTGAATTACTGTGTGTTCTTGGAAAAGGGAGTAGTGTCAGATCTTCAGAAGACTTGGACACCTTCAGATAGAGGCAGGCTCTACAGTTTGGGACTTGGAGGCCAAGAGTGGTAATGAAGGAATTACAACTGCTTTGCTCTTGCCTGTTCTTAAGAATACTATAATTCTCACTCTGTACCATTGAGTGCTGAAGCACAGTTACAAAACTGACCTTTAGTCTCTATGAAGCTCAGTTCCCCAAACTTACATTTGGTAATACTTGCAACTATAGTAGCTGCAAGGTGAAATGGCTGGCCAGGATGTATAGAAGTACATTGTCATCACACTAAGAAGCTTTTATTTTTTTTTAAATTATTATTATTATTTTTTAAGTGAGCTCCTATCTGCTTTTGTGAGCACTTCTGAAACTCTGGATGTAGAGGTCAGTAATACTAGTGCTTTCTCCTGAAAGTCAAAAGAAACAACATGATTTGATTACCATCTTGCTGGTACCTGGGGCAATAAAATATTACTCTTAGGGAATTCAGAACACTCCTTGAGAAATTTGTGAGGCATCACTTTAGCAAAAAATAGAGCTTCAAAAAAGAGATGTTTTCAATCTGTTTCTGAAAATGTTTGAAGCTGCTGTCTGAGGAAGCTAATATTTTCCTAGGAGAAAGATATTCATTCTAAAAATGTTAAAATAGAAATGAATGCAAGTACATTGAGCCCTAGCATCCTCTATTTTTTGTTTGCTGAGCAGTGAAAGCAACAGGGGGCAGCACCTTCTCATTGGTAAGAGCAGCACTTCACTATTACATTCGCTGCTGCTCAGTTTGAAGCAAATTAATATCTAGCTATTCCCAAAGCCATTACATCTAGAAATGAGAAATCTGACTCAAATGGACTTAGTGAATATTCAATGAGACCAGATGTTATCTTGCATTATTGAGGTGAGTCAGAACTTATTGCAACTTTTCCATCACTGCTGTTTGCTGTTACTTTTCTGGGTACAAGTAGAAAACTTTGTTTTCAAAGAAGTCAGGAGACTTCTTTTTACAGAGAAATGACAGTCTTTATCATCCTTTACTGAAATAGCATCGCTGACTCTATAAGGTTTAGAAATGACTTCAAAGAGCAGTTTTGCAAGTGTACATGAGCAATTTGAGGTTTTGATTAAAACTTGAAGTTAAAAGCATTTACAAAACTGGTTGGTATTTGTAAGGCTACCTGCCCCAGTAGCAAGTTGAGGCACAAATGTATAGATAAGTCAATGGCAAAGACAAAGTACTCTTTAACGAGTCTTGGCCATGTGGGAGTTATATGGACTCTTTTTTCTGTCTTCCTGTTCACAATACCAGAGGACTAACTTTCAAAAATTAGATGATGATGGTTATCTCTGACAACCCCTTAAGGACTTTATTTAGTCGTATCATAGGACCTATGAAAGACTTAAATACCTTTGGTAACATCCAAGTTCATTAAAGTTTTAAGTTATTCACATCACTGTTAGACAATGACCTGCGATGTGAGATAACATCCCACATAGACACTTGAATAATTGGACAATGAGTTGTGATAAGTAACTGTTTAATAAATAATATTTATATAAAATTAATTTTTCCGTGAAGAGACCTGGGGAGAGATTTATTCTAGAATATCAGATATGGTGGTTATTGGCTTTTTCTCATCCTCTATCAGACCACCCCCCCTCTCCAGTACTTCAAATTCAAGCTGCAGTACCAAATACCTAGTTTTGTTTTCTTGAAGCTCTAGTTTCATTTCAGTTTGGGCTAAGAATCTATCTGAAATCACAAAAGTATTAGTTGAAAGTGGAAAAATCCTGTCCAGGTAGAATCTGCCATTCAGTTTTATGTCTTATTTAAAAACTCATAATATTAGTGAAGATACAATCTTTGAATACTGACATCAGAAAAAAATAGATATTATTTTCTTATTTGTATGCTAATTTATATTTGTATTTCTAGAATAAATTATTCAAAATGCATGACATATTTTCATAGGTTTTTTTTTTTTTCAAGTTGAGAAATAATCTAATAGTGCTATTTTCTTATAGCAAGAGTTTCAGGCATATAAATTTTGAGAATATTTTCAGCAATACTGCTTTTCCTGTTGGAAAGTGCTTTTTAGTACATGTAAAATATTTTACATTAATTTGTTCCTATGTCAGATTTCTATTGAAAAATTTTATGTGGTCTAAAGTAGAGAGAGAATGAGAGAAAAATTCAGCAATTTATTTATTTCTTTATTTTTTGACTGTTTGACATTCTGCTATGGCAATTCAGTCAAAACACGCCTTTCTTCTCCATTCCTTCCCTTTTAATCTTCCTTACCAACAGTTTCTCATTTTTCTGGTTTTATAGGTTGGATGGATCCTCTCTATCCTAGATGAGCTGCAACTCACTCCCCAGCCTCCTGTGGCTGTCCTTCCACTTGGCACTGGGAATGACCTTGCCCGCACCCTCAACTGGGGTGGGGTAAGCACTGACTGGGGTTACCCTTACATGTGGGTTCTCAACTTGCTGCTCTGATTTAGTGGTGTAGTAGCGTGAAACTTCTTTTTGGCTAAAATAGCTGGGGGACTATGGGGCTTTACCCAAGGTCTGCTTCACATGGACACAACAGCTAATTTCAGTTTCCAGTTTCATGTTTTGATTTATTAATAATGTGAATGTTGTAATAAAAAAGTGCATAGCTGTATCTGTCTGGTATTTTGGGCCAAATAGTGAGAATTATATGGGCTTATAATTTAAGCATTATTTGAACTTTATTTCTCTGTAGTTTTCCTTGACTACAGCACTGGATTTATTTCATGAAAGGCAAATATGCTTCGAATTCCTCTCTTAGTCTTACCACGCCTGTCTAAAACTTGCGTTCTTAAGTAATAGTTGATCTGACTATTTCTTATATCAAAATCTAGCAATAATCTGACATGTTCTTAAGAACATTTGATCTGCTGTTTTAGATCTGCATGAAAGGAAGGACATTTTCCAGTTAATTGGTGAATGATTTGCTTTTCTTTGGCTATCCACGCCTGATACTTTGGTGACACTCATTCTGCTACCAGGGTTACACAGATGAGCCTGTATCCAAGATCTTGTGTCACGTAGAAGATGGGACCATTGTCCAGCTGGACCGTTGGAATCTCCAGGTTGAGCGCAACCCAGATTTGCCACAGGATGAGCTGGAAGATGGGTCACGTAAGGTTGGAGCCTTTTTTTACCTAGGGAGACTATAGTATAATTAAAAGCATTTTTGGGGTACTCTATGAGAGGCATGAGTGATGAAGCTCTAAAACCTTTTCAATTACTTGTTGCATCTTTTCCTATTATTCTTCAATGCCTCCAGGGGCATGTGAACCTTAATATGTATTGGCCATGTTATTTGTTGTTTGTAACTCAGACTTTGAGCATTTATCTCAGTAACCAAATCCTGGTAAAAATCCATGGCATCTCATTGTTTTCCCTCCATTTAATCAAGGGTGGCAGAAGAAGGAGCCCAGTGACCACTATTCATTCCTAAATTTGAGACACATCTAAAAACATACAGATAATTTAAATATTACTTAGGATTCTGCTGGTAAATACTAACTGCTCCCTTCTTTACAGCTAAGAGTAGTGTGTTTTTGAATTTAACATCTTTGTGTGCGAGTCTCCATATCCATTAGTGAGATCATCTCTCTTGAGAGTTGAAGATTGGGAAAATCTTTGTGAGAGGATCACATATATATTGATAAGTCATAGGGTTGGGGATGTTGAATCTGTCACTGACATTTAAAAAAAGATTAAAAAATTCTGTGTGCCAATTTCCTCCTGTCAGTTAGAATTTTCAGCTTATTTATTGGATGCTACTGTTCCCTCTGTACAGCTCTGCTGGGCCAGTATAATGATGAAGAGGCCAGATGTGTGCTTTGCTATCTCATGCATCCTCAATAAAATTAGGGCTTCTTGTCTGGGACTTGCATTGCTCTTGGTTATATATTAAGCAAGAAAAACACAGCTTGAGTTTTATTCATCACGCTGAGCTTGAAGTGCCAAGCAATTAGGAAAACCTATATATTGACATGTTAAGTGGAGAAATGCTCTGGAAAATCTCAATGAGAAAGTAAATGAGGAGCCTTGTAATGTGTTTGCAAAGATACTTATATGATCATAAAGCTCAGTAAATGTGTTTGCATTCTTTGGCTTTTGTATGGAGCATCTCCCACAAGCTTTTACTAGTCTTCTTAGAAGAACAACTTCTTACATACACTTCCTATTTTCTTTTTAGGTTTTCAGGAGGTGCCAAATTTAAAATAGTTAATTCCTGGTGTTCCATGGAATATTTAATTTGTGCTGCTTTTACATGTCTTTCTGTTATCTAATTATAGCTTCCGCTCAATGTCTTCAATAATTACTTCAGCCTTGGGTTTGATGCACATGTTACACTGGAGTTCCACGAATCCAGAGGTAAGAGGAATGTTTTACTTCCTTAGCCTTGGGTAATTATTTTATAAATTACAGATAGATTTGGATTTAATGCCTTTTTCTGAATTCTTATAATTCAGGAAGATTGCTAGAACATAAAAACCACAAGTAGGAAAAAAAGTAATTGTATCAGATTTATAGTGAATTTCCAAGAGATCTGGTAATTTTAAAAAGAAAAAGAAAATACAAGAAAAAATGGAATCCACTGGAAGAAAAGAGCTAAAATGGGAGCTTTTCAAAGTTTTTGACCTTGTGAAGTGAAACGTGGTACAAACATAAAGGAGATTTACTGACACAAGTGTCAGTGCAAGAGCAGAAAATGTAATTCAGGTGCAAGTTTTCCCAACAGTGTGGAAGTGAAGGGAGGAGAAGATCTGTGAGGCTGTGAGAGAAGCAGAGTTGCAGAAGGATAACTGCATTCTCAAGCCGAATGGCTGTTTCGTATGGATGAATATAACATAATGTCACTGGACTTGGTACAGACCCAGAACGTATCTCTGGAAATGAAAGGCTTTAATGAAGTCCACAAACTGGACTTGTCAAATTGTCAGCAATTTGAGCTGTTGAAGCATCCTGCTTGTCCCCTTGCTGATGGCAGTTATACCACTCAACCCAAGTGTGACTTTGGAGTGATGTGAACTGTGAAGATTTGTGTGGTTTAGGCAAGCATGCCTGTGTAAACAGACTTTCTCCAATTGCTTGTGTTCACTTTTTGGTCATTTCAGCTTCATAAGAATGCTTTTCTTCTGAATGGCAGCCTCCCTTATCTTCATTTTCATATTATCAAAGTGTCATCACAAAATGAAAAGATAGCACCTGAATGCCATATTAAATAAAGAGCAGAGTGCATGATGGAATGAGCTAATGCATATTTTATAATGTTTAAGACTGCTTCAAGCTTCAAGAATAATAACGAGGGGCCACAAAAGGGCGCAGAAATGAAATGATGACAGCTGTATGCATTTATTTTTTTATGAATGTATATTGCCATGCATTGCTAATGTGACTGTGAATATACTGTATAGATGAAATGCTTGGCTACTTTCTCACTTAATGGAGGCATTACTTAATAATGAAGTTATGGTACCCTCTAAAGAATGAATATTATTCCAAAGATGCCAGTGTTTTAAAAATTTACATGGGTGAAAAAATACTTGGCAGCGCAAGCTGTCTGTCTTTGAGTGGGTGTGTGAGGCTAGGAGAGCTTTTTGTAGTATAAATGTCTGCTCTTACAAGTAATTCTGCTGATGTTTCTTATCAACTCAAATGCTAAAAGATACAAAGTCACTTTTCAATGTTTTAGGAGAGAAAAGCTTATATTTTTGTTGCTGATGCATGGGTTTTATTGTGTTTCATGTGGAATTAAACAAAGCAGAACAGATTATGATATCTTCTACAAGTGATAAAAATCCAGATAAACTCTAGAAGATTTGAGCAAAACCTGTAGCACTAGCATGACCATTGCACCTGACCCAGTAAGAGAACTAGCTGTATGTAGTTTATGTGGGGCTATTAAAATCACACATTTTTGTTCTTAATTTAAAAAAAAAAACCATACAAAAACCAGCCAATTAATATTCTCTCCCCAACACCAAAGAAAAAAAAAAAAAAAAAAAAACAAAAAAAAACCAGAAGTATTCTTTTAGACCCCCAAGAAATGAATCCAAACTAAATTAGATTGATTTGAATTCTCACTGTATCAGGCCATTTATGCTGTGGAAATTGCTCAATTGTTATATTTTAACTAAACAGTAATTGCAGTGTCTCAGAGGAACCTCTATGTGAATGTGGCCTTTTCCCTGGCAACCTCTGCACTTTTCTTGTGACTAATGAGATTGAGCCTTGAGGGCTGGCTCCAAGCCCAATGCATTTAGCTCTCCTTCAGGAAGCTTTCTTGGTAGAAGATCATTCTAGAGGTCACAGTTTCCCCCTTCATAATGTTTATGCTCTGGTAGAGCAGGGAATATGCACTTTACTTCGTCTCTTGTTGAACAACGTGAGCTTCAGAAGGTCGAGGATGGAGCGAGCCTTGGATATGCAGTCAGTGATTTACTTCTACAATCAAAATTGCATTCTAGTCAAATTTAAGCTCTATTCCACGTAGTAGAAAGAGTGTTTCCTCCCTACACCTGCTCATCTGCCATGGTATCTTGAAAGACTGCTAAGTCCCTGACCACAGAAAGGTTCCTTCTTGCTTAGTTGATTTCAAACTGGGGTTGTTGTTCAGGTCAGTGTTTGTCACAAGATCTGTGTAGGAGCCAGCACCCTGGTGGCTTTTGCCATCAAGGATTTCCACATCACTGAACGTGAACCATGGGCACTTATTTGAGCCTTCAGGACTCACTCACTTTGTAGCATGGGTTCTGAGACTTTCTGTGAAGAACTGTCAGCTCAGTAAGTGAATAAAAGGTGAGGTTTACTTAGCAGTTAAATTAATGGTATTAAGAAAAGGTGACCCTGAATGTATGCTAGGCTCACCCACGCAGCACAACAAAAGGGTGATAAAAAAGGTGGGTAAACAATCACACAGAAAATGAAGTAGCTCATTCTTTTGAAGTGGAGCATTGTATTGTGAGATGTAGTGACTTAAAACTAGATGAGTTGTTTCAAGTGGTTGTTTGAGAAGAAGTAATTTGGAAGTGTTTACAACAGTGTGATGCTTTAGCCAGAAGAACTAGGCCAGCGCTTGGATGATTTTGCTAGAGAATCACTGAGTAAGAATAGGTGATTCACTATACTATCCATGAATACGGTATCAGAAGGACCGTTTCTTAAATCTCTGGATGCTGCAGACTAGGGTAGCAGTCCCCACAGAGGCACAAAAATGATCCGTATTCTGAGAAACATGCTTTATGCTGGGAGATCAAAGGAACTCCACTTAGGTTATTGGAGAGAATATTAAGAGGTGATTTAATTACCACCCATAAGTATTTACTCAGGGAGAAGATATCTGATGGTTGAGGTCCTTTAAATCTAATGGACAGAGCAATATAATAAGATTTAACGGTTGGCAGTGGAAACCAGAAATGTTCAAGATAAGAAAAATAAACCAACAAGCATTTATTTTAATGAGAATAATTAAGTGTTGCACGGGCCATACTACTGGACTATTAAAGTTCTCTGTCACTTTGAGTCTAATCAAAATGAAGCATCTCTCTAAATAGATTTTAAAATAGCCTTTTGTAGTTTACTGGATGGATATTTGGGTAGAGATGTCAATTCCAGCGTATCTTCTAGATTTCCATTTTGTGATGCATCAGGATTTTTTTCATCTCATAATTTACTAACACCTTAACGTATACTTTGAAGCAGAACTAATGTTTTGTGAGTTTCTAATAACTCTTAAAGAAATATGATTTATGTTGGTGGACATGGAAGCCTCACAAATGGTATGGAGACAAATTGTCTGAATGATGGTAAATAAACGGATTGTATTATTGTTATATTTTTACTGAGTAATGTGTATAAAAACTCTGTTGTGTTAGGAACGAATCTGAAGCTACAGTGGAATCCTCTCAGTTTATTTGGGTGCTCATGTTTTTCCTTTGTATCCTTTCACAGAAGCAAATCCAGAGAAATTCAACAGCCGATTTAGAAATAAAATGTTTTATGCAGGGGTGAGTTCATGTGATTCATTTTGCAGAATGATGTAATATCAGTTGCTTGAATGTTTTGCTATATCCCTTCTCTCTCACTTTTCACACGAGGGGCTAATGCCGATTCATTTTGCCTGTTGCAATTTAAAATTCATGTGTCCTCTTTCTGGCACTGACACACACATGCCTGTTTGAGAGTGCCAATTGTCTTATAATACTCCTTTAGACACAGCACTGATCATGTTTTACTCTCCCTGCTTCTGGCTCACATGACCCTCAGCAAATAGTTCCAGTTTTTCCAGTGTTTGGGCAACACACTGGTACTGAATTTCCAGGAGAAATTCTCCAAGTTAGCCTGCATCTTTCTGGCTTTGAGGAGTCATCTTGGATGTGTGGTCATGGGTAGCAGAGGTCAGTGATCAGCTATTTGGAGTGACTTATTTCCATATTTTCACGTGTGATTATGCAAATAAAAGAATATGCTTTTTTAATCAGGAGAGATGTGTACAATACTTTATTTTAAAGTTCAGTTTAAGTAGACACACTCATTTGATAATACATGGCATACTGTATGGCTTACCAGAGGATGACTTCCAGCATGCCCGCGTGCTTTCATGGCACATGACACACAGCAATAAATGTGAGCAAGAATTTGCACTTATACCATTGGGTACCAAAGGACATAACCTCTCAAAAGGAAAAGTATAACTTTAAAAATAATAGATATATGTACATAAGTCAGATTTTCTGAAAGCAGGAAAGAATAGGTTTAACAAAAGGATAGCACTAGGTAATGAGCTCTCTGGTAAGATAAGAAATTTGGAAAGAGTGGAGGCAATGACGACCATTCCTGCTCTTGTTTCTGTTGCAGGCAGCCTTTTCAGACTTCTTGCAAAGAAGCTCAAGAGATTTATCCAAGCACGTTAAAGTTGTGGTAAGTATAGGAAATTGTGTTTTAGTATTATGAAAAGAGGTGGGGAAAGGCAGAGAGAGCGAGGTGAGAGTTTAATGGCTCTGTTACTTTTCAGTTTTGAGCATGACATTTGCAACACATTCCAAGGAAAGTCTTGGGAAAGCTGTTTCAAAGCAGCAACACTTCTCTTGTCTGTGGCTCCATTCAGCAATTTCTCTGTGCTCTGTCACTTTGGCTTTGTAGTGTGATGGTACAGACCTGACTCCAAAGATCCAGGAGCTGAAGTTCCAGTGTATAGTGTTTTTAAACATTCCCAGGTAAGCTCAAGACAGATGCTTGGAGAAAATAGAAAGTAATATTACCACTACTAATAGTAAAAAAAAAACACAACCAAGTTGTTGTAGGATGGGTGGATGTGCAGGAAGTGTATTGCTACTGTGCTGCCTTCCTGAGAGCTATCTGCTTATGATACTGCTTATTAGCAGCACGAAAAGGGATCAGAGCCCGGGGTGCAGCAAAATTTTCCATTGAAAAAGTGATGCAGAGCTAGTAGAAAATATTGTTTTAACAAACATGCTTCCAAATGTTGTGCAACTAACCTGCAAACCAGACAGTAAACCAGGCACAGCTGCCTCGTCTTCTGCTTTACTAGAAACAGTGTGAGAAACAAGAATATAAATATTTTTCAAGAAAATGATATAAAGCCTGTTGAAAGAATTGCTTTTTTTCTCAATATAGTAGAAGATGTTCCAAATAGAAATATGTCTATATTTTTAAAAATTGTCTTCCTCCTGCTCTCTAGACCAGTGGTCCCCAAAATCTTTTGACTGTGTGCTCCTATTGGTAATTAAGAAATTTTTTTAGCATGAAAATGTGTATTTATTTATATATTTGTGTGTTAGTGTACCAGTAGATTATGCACATTATAAAACAGACACAAACAGAAGTTAAAAGAGGATGTGACAAAGATGAAATAAGCACTATTTAAAATATAATTTTATTAATAGTATGGAATATATTTTCTTCCTACCACAATGGATTGTCTTCTGCACCCCATTTTGGAGTCTACTGCATTAGACTGCCTACCTTTTTGCTCCACGTGCAATCCCAAACACATGGGAATCCTGCATTGCCTTCACTGCAAACTTCTATTTTGTGTCTCCCTTCTTCTGTTACTCTTTAGATCGCTTTTACATCCATCCTTGAATGGTAGGAAAAGTAGACGCAACAGGTGCATCTGTTCCTGTTCATTTCTCCCCTGCCTCCTCAAGCTTCTGCAATTCTTATACCATCAGAGCTTATGAGTCAGCAGGGAGAGAGGAAATGGAGATCTGAGGCTGCTGCTGTGGCCCTTTGCCGTCCTAGCAGAGGGGATAAGCAACTTTCATGCAGGCAAATTGCGGGTGCCAGTGAAGCTCAACAGCTGATCTGCAGAGTAGACCAAGCGGGGAGAAAAAAATGCTGCTGCTCTGTTGCCTGTTGTTTGGTATTTCTCCCATTTCCTTGCTTGTAGAGGAACCTGCCAAAAACCATGATGAATAAACTTGTGAGAGATGTGCCAGCTTAGAAATTAGGGACCAGTTTTCCCCTTTCTTCAGTCCTTGCCAATGTAACTATAAATTGTCCTTCAACTGAATCCTGAAACATTTGTTTAGGTTTCTAGGAGATCAGAACAGGCCAAGAGTCAGGCTAATAGTCAGGACCCATCAGGAAAATTACTTTCTCAAAGCCTGCTTTCCAAATTTTCTGTAGGTATTGTGCTGGCACAATGCCCTGGGGAAACCCTGGAGATCACAGAGACTTTGAACCTCAGCGCCATGATGATGGCTACATTGAAGTCATTGGGTTTACCATGGCCTCACTGGTGAGTATACTGCAAATGCTACCCTGCCTGAGGTTGTGACCAGACTTGGTGAAATTTGTCCACATTAATGTAAGAACAACATAACTCTGTGTATTCAGCTGAAGCCAAAATATGCTCTGCTGTTAGGTTTTAAGTGAAGGGACAAACTGTAGTTTTTAAATAGTTATATTTAATAATAACAATATAATCTTTGCAAAGTATTAAAAATTCACCCAAAGCTAGCAGTGCTTTAAAATGCTCTCAAATTAAACAGCAAGATTATGACAGCCAATCAAAAAGCATGAAGACATGTTGTTACTGTGGGAATGTTCTGTGGTCAAACAATTAATGCTATTTCTTTTTAACTTTTGTATATTTCAATTAGTGACATTAAAGTTCTTTTTTTTTTTTTTTTTTTTTTTTTTTTTTTTTTTAATAATATTCACTACTGGAAGCATATATCAAAGATTATATGAAATTATTTTCCCTAGCATATATTTCTTCTCTTAAAAATTAGCTGTTTTGACAAATGAAAGATTTTTTTTTTATTTCCAAATACTTTGAAAATTTTTTGCTTTTGAAGGTTAGAGAAGGAGTACTTATCTGAATAGAATGCAGTCATTTACTGAGTGTATTTTCAGCTGTCTTGGAACAACAGAGAGTTACAAAACTTGAAGGAAATGTATTGCAACCGTGTAGAACATCAGGCTGTAAAAGTGAGCTGTAGCCTACTTACATTTTGAGGGATGGGGACTTAACATTCTTTGGAGGCAGTATCTGTGTAGTGAAACTGGGCAAAAGTGATTCTTAACCACTTAAATGGCTCCATTTGACTACCTGTAGTTCTGTTCTAAAACCATTATTTTTTTCTTTTTCATTTGGGCTTAAAAAAATACATCAGTATTTTTTTTATTACCCCCCAAGTTGCACCAGGGGAGGTTCAGATTGGATGTTAGGAAATACTTCTTCCCTGAGAGAGCGATCAGGCACTGGAATGAGCTGCCCAGAGCAGTGCTAGAGTCACTGTCCTTGGAGGTGTTCAGGAAACATTTCAGTGTTGCAGTGAGGGACGTGGTTTAGTAAGAAATATTGGAGTGGATGATCTTGGAGGTCTTTTCCAACCTTGGTGATTATATGCTGAAGTTCCTACTCTTAAGCCATTTCTGCTCTCTTTTGTGTGGACTAGGTTAAAGCTAATGTTAATAAGCCTATTTTCACTAATCTCGTACTTTATTTGTTGTGTGATCTATTGCATTCATTTAATACCCCTGAAAATGGTATTTGTTTCCTTAGATATATTTGGAGAAATAAAGTCAGTAAAAGGCCATCTGAATCAGCAGTTGTTTCTTTAGAAGTGGTTCAGAGTATAGATTCTTTTATGGCCTGTCTTTTGATTGATCTAATGAACTAAGGTATTAACCCACAGGTAGGAAAAATTCTATTAGCATTGTAGATCTTGTGGAAGGAACTTTTGCCTTGATGTTAGATTCAATTAAGAATTAGGGCCCTTTGAGCTGCTGTTTCTCTCTAGAGGAAGCTTAGTTCAAAACTGAGTATCTATATATACACATTGATTGTGATGCTGTGGATGTAACCCTTGAACATGTATGTGTAATTTTGACTTGCTCTTTACAGCTCTCAGATTGCTTGGTCTCAGAGACCCAGAAAGAGCAGTAATTTTTAAGTATTATTAGGCATATTATCATTTTTTTTTTTTTTCCAGTAGTATGAGATGCAAGGAGCAAGATTAAGGTCTTCACTAGTATTTCAACTGTTCCCTGAGATTTTTTTTTGCATATTATAGCTAATAGTGACATTCCTACATTGCTAATTAGTAAAAATATGTTACTGTCCAAACATGTCTGCTTAAAACTTGAAGAATCTGACCATGCTCTTCTTGTTATATTTCTTTGGAATGAATACTTGAACATGGTATTTAACTGTTTTTAACAAGATTCTTCTTGCTCTTTTCAGCCTGTCTGGTCTTGATGTTGAATTGCTATGTAAACTCTCGTAATTGGGGATTTTAGATTTCTCTAATTCACATTAAGAACAATATTCTGTTCAGGAAGGGGTAATGGTCTTTCTGTCTCTCAGATTTACTAAATTAGGGTTGATATTTAAAAGGCAAAAAAAAATTGCATTATAGTTAGTGTAAAACAAACCAACAAAACGTATCGAAACCTTTAAGAAGAAACACAGATAGGCATTAGAGCATGTGTGTGTATATATATATATATTGTGTTTGTGTGTAAAATATACTTGACAGATAGAAATTGATGAGACGTGATGCATATGATCAGGTAACTGTCCTATTTCATCTGCTTGTTGCCTACCAGTTTTCTGTGTGAAATGTTAAGTCCTGCTTTTCAATTTTTGAATGAAAGTACATCCACTGTCCTTGATGTGAATGCCTTACACAGGTGATGCTGACTAATACTCACTGTTGCCATTTTGTATTTTTTAGATTGTCTGAAACGTCTGTTTTGAGGTGTCTTTCTCCTTCCTTTCTAACTTCTTTTTTTCCCCCAAGGCTGCTCTCCAAGTGGGTGGCCATGGAGAGAGGTTGCATCAGTGCCGTGAGGTGACGCTTTTAACGTACAAGTCTATCCCCATGCAAGTGGATGGTGAACCTTGTCGGTTGGCTCCATCACTCATTCGGATCTCCTTAAGGAACCAAGCCAACATGGTGCAGAAGAGCAAGAGGAGAACATCCATGCCTTTGTTGAATGAGTGAGTTGGATGCATGCATGTCCTAATGCCAGGAGGCCTGTCTGAGGCAGCATATTCAGTCATGGAATTTGCATGTATTGAACTTGCAGTGCATTTGAAAAAAAAAACAAACACGTATCCTGAACTTTCTTCCTACTGTACTGTAAATAATTTCCTGGCTTTCTTTTGTTCTTTTACCTTCTGGATTTCCTGCTGCCTTGCTTTTAGGAAGGCTTGTATCTTTTAGTTATTTATTTAGAGAGGTATGTGAAGGCTCAGTGTTGTGCCTCTTGGCTTATGTTGGCTCTGCTCATAAATGGTATTAGCCCTTAAAGTTCTTATGATTTGTTTTCTGAACTTTATCAGCCTGATTTTTAGTCTCCATTGAAGAGTCTAATAAACTGCTACAACCAAGAACTACTCAGGACATCTTGCAGTTTCAACTGTGGGAACATGCTGCCTTGGATTCCTAAAGGAGAGGGGTCTGGAGGCATGGAAAGGGGATATCTGTGCTTTGTAGGGAAGGGGATATCTGTGCTTTGTAGGGAATCGTTCTCCAGTACAGAAACTCAAATGAGAAAGTCCAGTCGGAATTAGCTAAAACTCTTCCTCTAGTTTCTGTGCTCAATGGAAGAAGATTGAACTACTGAAGATTGGATTGGTGGATTAGAGAAACAGTGATTAGGGAAAAGACAGGGGAATATAGTCAGAGAAGGAAAATGCATAGCATAAGGTGGAGGTAGCACAAGTAGTGGAAAGGATGAACAAAGAAAAGCAAAAATAACAGGAAATGGGGAACATGCAAGGAAAACAACACAGAAATAACTTTCTTTTTCAAGTTAATAAGGTTATAATAAACCTTATTTTTAAGTATCAAGCAACATTTTAATTTTAATCTAAGAAAATGCTCATGAAATAAAATAATTCAGATTATTTTTGTAGAGCTGTAATTCTCATACAGAAGGTCTTTATTTTTGCTAAGATGAGAGATAGTAAGTGCCTTTGCTGTTTCCAAGTGATGTGAAACAATCTGTCTGCTATACAGACAGGTACTGGCCTAAAAGCTTGAAGTTATCAAGTTATCATAGTTCGTTCAAGCATCCATGCAGTGAAGATTTCACTTTTCTTGGGAGCTGAGTTTGGGGATTTTGCTGTTGCAGCTGTTACGGTGACAGGAAATAAGTGAAGCAGTGTTTTTGAAGAGAGGTAATGTCTTGCATTAAATTAATATAGTTGGAAAAGTCAGCAAGGTCTCAGGCACACACACCTCTTTAGGTGTTTTAAAGGTTGTTTGCGTTTTCAGTCTTTGTCATGCAATGAAAGATATTGCTTCTCTTCAAACTTTGTCTTCAGCCCTTTAAAGTGTCATGTCATCTTCTGTTTGTCAATCTGTTCATGTAATCAAAGCCTCCTTAGTTACTTTCAGCATCTTCCTATTCAGTTTAGCACATGGTGTTCTCTTTTGGAGACTAATGCTTTAAGCTTCAGTAGAGGCACATATCTGTAATGTATGATTGCTGTTTGTCAGGAAAATGCATAAGGCATACTCACTGCTCTTGAATAGTGAAAAATAGCAGACTATTGCCTGTGTGCAGTGATGCCTGATTTCATCCAGTCACCTCAGCTCCTTCATTTCTGAAATCTGGAATTTGGTAGAAAACAATCCCAAGGTATCTCTTCCTACGCTGATGGGAGCTAATGCAAATGTTTATATTTTGCTTTTTTAAAGAAAATTCCTGATATTTTGATCTGCTAATTTGATCTTATAAGCAGCATGGCTACACTTGGTTTTTGATAGCCAAATTTGAACTGTAGTACTGAAATGCAGAGTCATAATGATGTCAATAGTGAAGACGATATTCCTTCTGGTTTAACCTCATTTGAACATGCTGCAATGTGCTTTGATGCTATCTGAGTCTTCTTATTTGATCAAGATATGTGTGCACACCTGTGTTTTTGAAAAATACAGATGATCTGGTAACTACTATAGTTTCAGCCTCATGCATTGGAAATAATGTGTATATATCTATATATGTGTGAATGTACATTTCTAACAAGTGTCGAAGGGGAATGAGAGAGGAGTTGAATATTTTACTGTGACAAAAAGTAAATGGAATGTTAAGAGTTAAATTCCAGGAGGCATTTAATATTTTATGAAGTTAATTCAGTATGATACAGATTTGTAGTATTTCACAAGAGAAAGCTTTCGATTAAATGTGTATCTATATTTCTTAACTCTCAGTCCATTGAAATCTTCCAGAAATTCTTATATTTTATGTATATATACATATATATATATATATATGCAGTATATATACATACATTTCTTAAGATTGTCACCTGAATGTTAGATGTTTGAGGTTGGTGAGTAGGTCTGGTGCTATCCCTGCAATTGTTGGAGAACTGTTTCTGAGCAACTTGCAAGAAAAGTGCTTTTAAAATTATTTTCTGTCACAGTAACTCAGAGCTGCTGTTATTGCCAGCCTTGATGTATTGATAGGAGAACAGTGGGAATGTTCTTTGAAATTTTATCTATTCCAATGCAATAAGTGGAAAACTATTTTATTTTTTAGAAATTTTACACTGTGTTTCTGTTTTCTTATCCTATTCTTATTTGTTCTGGGAGTTCTGAAGAGGGGGATTTAGAAAGGGCAGTGAGCTTGCTGTTTGCTTTGTGGATGCTTTTTAATTTCTGGGGAATAACAGTGTTTCAAATTGAAGAACTCATATTTAGTGCAGATGAGAGGCGACAGAAACTCCAGACTTCTGTCGCTTGTGAGCATGAGGGCTTTAGAAAAATGATTCTCTTCTGACTGTCAGAGTTGCCCATCGTCCTGACTCTAGTTATTCTCCTTCAAAACACGTAGATAATTCTAGAGAGGACACTTGTATATGGGGAAAAAATGAGTTAGAGCTTGTTTGTTTGACCTGTTTTTTTTTCCTCTCTGTTTTCCCACGATTGTGCTTTTGGTACCTTATAACTGCACAGACATTGCCTTATGTTTCTACACAAACCTTCAAGGTTGAAATTCCTTTCTGCTGAGGGTTTTTTATCTCTTAATTTGCCTTTCTCACGGTGTAGGGGCAAGTTGAACAGCATTTTAGAAAAGCTAAAAATTCTTAGTCTTTTAAAATAATTAAATAAAACATTGACCATGGAATCAAATTAAAGAAAAGATCTTTTACTGTGGAGTTACTTGAACTGAAAGAGCATCTCTTTCCTGTAGTAAGCTATCAGAGAACAAGTCAACATGCTGTGCTAAATTTTGTTTGAACTGAGGAAATCACTAGCAATTATATTTAGTTATCTAATTTTTCTTTAATTGTTGAATCACCTATAAAGAAATAGTAATTTTCTCAGTATATTAAGAATAATACAGTAAGAATGCTTCTTCTAATTTGTTTCTAATGGAGACTGTTAAAAGGCAGGCATAATCTCTTCCTCATCCTACAATGCGTTAGGTCTACAATGGAGATAAGTAACAAACCAGTAAAGTATTTCAATCCAGAAGCAATTTTCAAAGTCCAAGGAATATCAAGAATGAGGTGATACTGTTGACATTTTTAATTGTGGATTGAAACAAGGCAGATAATTGGACTGTGGAAAAAAAGGCAGATTTATTTGATTATTTTTCCCCATTGGTGCAAAATGTACCAGTGAAAGCAAATTTCTCTGCAGTGACATTAGCAGACCCTTCCCCTTTCCCTTTTCCTTCCCCTCCCCCTTCTCTCCTTCCCCTCCCCCTTGCCCTTCGCTTTGTAAATTATATTCCTAATCTCCTTCTCTTTAAAGATTTGGCAGCTAAATTCCAATTCCTGAATCTCCTTTATTGATCATGGTTAATATGTGAAAGAGAGAACACTTGATCAAGCCAAAATGTAGTCTTGTGGTATAAAAGCAAAATATTTCTGGAATTAAAAGAGAAACTGTGGCTTGATTTTCCAGGAGTAATTTTCTGATTAGAAACTACAATTCAGTATACAACTCAGTAGGTTTTAGTTAATGATTGCTGTACAGACCCAAAAGATGGCTTTTAGTTTGAGTTCAGGAAGAATGGAAGAAACGGTCTTCATGATATAAAAAAGAGAAGAGGGAAGAGTTTATAGATAAAACAATGTTGCATTCACTTGAAGGAAACAAAGGGATTATTTAAATAAAAATACTAAGAGTCGGTCTTGGGAGACTATAAAAAATGCATGTAAAGTACGTGAAGGAGGGATAGAGACAGCAGTTTTCCATTGTGGATACAAAATCTCTAGTAAGGGTATTTTTCTTTCTTAAAGTTAACTGAAGTTGACCAAACTTTGCAGACAATTCTATCTATTCAGATTTTGACTTTGTTTGGAGACAATTGTATTTATTCAGATCTTGGCTTTGATGTTTGTTTGCATTTCTGGACCTGCTTCCAAAGTCTGCTGCCTTGAATTTTTCAGTGCCTGTGGAACACATATCCTGGGGCTCCCAGTCTTTGTATAGCTGTTTACCTAGCTTGTCATTTGTTCTCCTCGCTCTTGTTTTTAGAAAGCTTTGAAGTGTCATGTAGAAATATTGTTCTCCATTTGCATGTCTTCTGTTGCTCTTGGCTTCCTAGTGTGACCTTGGAGCTCTGCATGTATTTTCATTCAACTTTCATGTGACACATTCCTTTTGTTTCTGTTTAAATGTTGTATGTCTCTTTCTTCTCTTCCACTTTCTTCCCAATCTTTTTTTCTCTCTCTCTTTCTCTCTCTCTCTCTCTCTCTCTCTCTCTCTCTCTTTCTCTTTCTCTTTCTCTCTCCCCTATCCCCTGCTTTTTCCTTGTCTGTCCACACTGTGTGCTGCCTTTCTCTTGGCCACTCATTTCCCACTGCCTATAGTATCCATAAAGTGCAGTCTGCTGACCTGAGGAGAGTCTCAGCTCCCCCCGATTCCTTCACTGTGTGAGTATCTGGCTTTTTTCTACCTTTAAGGTTCTGTAATTTTCTGCTTTTCCCCTATGTGTTTTTCAACCAGGAGACAAGACAGTAAAATAGTAAAATCC